GGTGTACTGCTCTTTAGCGTTAATCTCTCCAAATTCTGCAAAAGATACAAAAACACACATTTCTAAAACGGATTGTTTTCTTTGCGTGATGTGAACTGTGCAAAGCTCTAGACCCTACTGGCTCTGTGTGGTTTGATTGTCTATATAATAAGTTTCCTCCTGCTGTATGTTTATATACCTATGATTTGTTGAGCTATTTTTAGCTCAGACCACAGTGTGTTTTGATGTGTAGACCAGTTCAAGCCTTTAAATATTAGGTGTGTATCTACTTTGGACCTTTTGTATGATACTTCCCTCAGTAATTCCAGGATATTTTTATAGATTACTGTGTCTTAAACATTCTGTGGGTGGTTGTTGATTCTAGCTCTCCTGGCAAGACCCCACACTTACTTTGCAATTATGCTCGTATTGTCTTTCATAACCTGGTGTGAATTTTCCTTATCCTGCAACCTGACTTTCACTCTGTGGTTCCACTAATCATGCCACAGAGAAAGTATACTTTGTGTGAGTGTGTAGACACACATGCTTACTTTGCCTGTGCTGGTTTTTGTTACTCCTGCACTATGGCATTTTTTTAAAGCTATTAAATGGTGCCAGGATGCACAGTTTGCTGTATATAGAAGGATGTTGAGTGAAAGTGGCAGTGGGAGTGTTCTGTGTGCCTGTGTATGTGTGTTTGTGGTCAGGTACCTTCCAGCACAGTCTGTGTAATTTGCTGTGCTTGGCTGCACAACCCTTGTGATCCTGAGTAGGACATATGAACCCCATTGGCAGAGGGCACCAAGTTTCCCTCAGTCTCAGACTGAACCCTGCACCCCCGTCATCTGGCCGCCTTCGACCTTGATCCTGTGGTGAGAGTGTGTGTGCATGTGGGCAGAACCGAGTACGGGTGGCCAAGGTGCTCTGGGCCTGCCTCAGGAGCTGCTGAGCTCGAGCCAAGCAGAGTAACCGACCGCACCCTGCCACGAGAAAACACTGCAAGGCTGCCATCCCCTCAAATCTGCCCAACAGCTCCTGCTTGTGTACCACCAGGAAGGAGGGAAAACACCTATTTATGTCTCAGCTGGGAAATATGAGCATGAATAAAAAGCCATGCACACTTATTTGAGTGCAGGCTGTATGGGAAAAGTAACAAAACAAGCAGAGATAGTATGGAGAGAGCAAATGACAGACAGCTGAGCACAGCTAACCCTGATTTTACCCCACCAAGAATAAAGAAGGGGAATGGAAACAGGCCACGTTCATTCTATTGTGGTTTGTTAAAGGGTAGGGATTGTTTTGCTATTCTATACTTACTTATACTTGAAGTCTTCAAGTGATTTATAGGCTAAACATCAACTCTATTCCAGTGTTACTTACAGTATAGTACAAGTTCCCTTACAGGCCTGCCTATTGAGCATGTTTTCAGGATTACAAGGTCTGTTTGAACAGGATATTGATTCTGGCCAAACATCGAGTTCCTTACAGTGTATTGTGACACAAACTTAATCCTTACAGTAACTGCTTTCCATGTTCCACTCTCACCACAGTTGAACCTGCAGCTGATGAGAAATGTTAGTGTGGAAAATTAATAGCGGTCCTTATACCGTGTCGGAAGTAGAGGCAGTCATTCAATATTTGATTTCTATCTGCTTTGCAGTTAATAGAAATCATAGCTATGTGCTTGCCGTACCTAAGTGAGAACCAATCTGTGCTTCTAGTTTTCAGTATTGCAATAAAGTGTGAAGATAAAATTAAAGTAGTCTCAGTTGAATATTTTGAAGTCTTCTCCCACCGCTTTAAAGATGAGAACCAACTCTCCCTCTAAGCCATATGCGTCACGCAGTTTGGTTGCTTTCATCTAATCATTTATTACCCTGATTTTATCCAGACTACCCTAAAGGTCAGTGATAACTTGAATTATTTGCGAAATTGAGTTCATATCTGTCAATTTTGAGATGCAGTCATATCTTAGGATTCAGTGAGCTGACATGTCCCCTGGTCCATTTCAGATGTTGTGTCTCTGTTTCTTCCGCTACCTAATTCTTTTTTCCTCTCCAGTGTTAAAGGTATCTCATCCTGAAACCCACAGTACATCAATCACATAAATTACTTTCACCTGAACAACTTGTAGTTCGTGTTCCCATCAAGACTGAGATAACAAAACCTATTCTGTCTTATATGCTGTCTTCTACTCTGTCATTCAATTTTCACTAGAGAACATGCTTCTTATTGGAGAAAATGTCCACGTTCATTTATTCAGTAAGAGGATAAAACACCCCCAAAGATGGCACTCTACATCCTCCAGCCCATCTTCTTCAAAGAACCCCTACTGCTGGCTCTCATTTGAAAATAAAAACTATGCCAAGAGACATCAGTGGAGGAAGAGGCTCCCATATCGTCCCCCGTAAAGATCCTTTCATTTCTCAGCTTCTCCCAAAAGAAGATATTATTTTACATGTGCATTTTACAAATCAAGCTGTATGCATTTTACATGTTATGTTATATAACACATATATAACGTGTATGCTATAATATACACAATTCTAGTGGATAAATGACACATACACCTTTACATGTCACACCTCTAGTGTAAATTAAAGGAGATTTCCTACAGTTGTAAAAAACATTGTTGTTAATAACAGATGTATCTCCCCTCCTCTCCTCACTTCCTGCGGAACTCCTCTCCCTCTTTTTCTCTCTATAAATCTGCTGGGTCATTTGTCCCCCCCTTGCCAGGACACACAGACACTCAAGGCCAGGTCTGGTTTTGGTCCACCTCTCTCTCTCTCTCATGTACTCATGTACATGGGGATGTTTACAGGAAACCGACAGTGTGTTTTGGCCCATTAAAAACACTCCATAAATTAACTCATGAGGAATGGGGCTGACCTTGCACAATTCTATTAGGCTGGATCTGTTGCACGTAGACCTGTTGGAAAGTACACAGATCATCTGAATCATCTGCACTGGGAAATACGGTCTGCTTTTGCAGCCTGCTGAGTGTGAAGTTCCGATGCCCTTGATCGCATTAAGGATAGTTGCAGTAATATACACTGGAGAGTACTGCAGTTTGTGGATGTGACTTGTTGCACAGATGCTGACAAACTCCAAGAAATGGTGTCAACATTTTATGAGCTGTGGTCAGTTGTATGATGTTTCTTAGCTGTCCAAGTGATAGGCTGTGTAGAACTATTAAGTTAAGATATCTTTGTCCCAGATTTTCTGCCACCACTGCAGTGCAACTGACTTCTATTTAATTTCATTTGTGGTGCTCAGAACATTCAAAAATAACTTTTATCAGCATTGTGCCTTTATAGAAACAATAAAACAATTCTAGTTAATTCTCAAATTCAGACACCACAATTTCATTGGAACATCTTTCTACACTCATTTTCTTTGTCCCTCCTGGTTGACTGCATTTTTAGTGAATTATACAGAGTGATGGGACACCTGGAAAGAGGTATTCCTGCTGAATTTATTGAAAATGATTCTATTCACCTCCGTTGTGTTGCAGTGGCAACATATAAGAACAAGAAAAAAATGGTCAAATAAAAATATGTAATTTCTAACTTGGGTGAAACTGACATCACCGGGGGCCATTTCCATCCCTCCATCCCCCATTCTCCAGCCATGTAAAATAAAAACACAATTCTGTTTTAAAAAAATTATTTTGTTTGTCGCAAAGTAATGTCATATGTGTGCAAAGGGCTGATAAGATGAGAATAAATTTTGGACCTTCATTTGTTGTTTGGCTGTGAACGATGCTGATGATGATTATTACTTTATTACATTTCATCAATCGTATGTATGTACTATGACTCACTTCTGAAACACGTCACAATTTCGAGGTAAATTTGCTTGCTTACGTGTTTGAGTGGGAGTAAAGGAATAAACACTGAAATGTTTGTGCAGATGTACGCATTTATATTCGACCCAGGGATGAGAGGCCCACAGGATGGGGAGTAAATTTAAGAAATCCTGAGTCAGAACGGTTGGAGCAATTCTTTTCTGCTGCATCATACACTTCCAGGAATACTAACCCCCTCCTCACCCCCTCACTCATTAATGACCTGGACACATTCAGAGGTATTTCATTACTTTTAATGTGTACATATGTGTTCATTCTTTCACGTGGTACACACATCTTTCACAGCTTTAAGTTACAGTATTTGATGCTTAACTGCCTTTTAATGGTATGACACTCATTACACATCTAGTGGAATTTAGTCTGGGCACAAACACCCACACACTCCAAACACACCCACTCAGCCTGTCCAAGCAGGACATCCACTATGGTGCACACAAGTCAAGTGCAAGAGTGCCCCCTTCAGTCTGTATCTAGCATCCTTTTCAACAGACAGAGCCACACTGCACTTAACGCTCGCAGATGACCAAGCACACGCACCCAGCCCCTCCCCCTTTTTTTCTTCCATAGTAGAGTAGTTACTCAACAAGGTTCCTGGCTGGCCTGTTTCACACCCTGCCAGTATAAACCTTACCCCTCACCCCTCGGTCCAGCTCAAACCCCCACCCTCGTCTGACCAAATGGCACAGGGACAGTGTCAGGGGGAGTAGGCCATTTGGGGGGTGGGGAGGGGGGGAGCGGGTTGTTGTGGGGGAAAAAAGCTAAATTAGAACCATATTTCATCCACACACTACCGAGGCTCTCCGTCTTCCAAAAACACGCACGGATGCACAAAGGTTGTGTGCAAACAAATACAGATGCATGTGCACGCATACAAACACACACATGGCCGCTCACAAATGGCCAAGTCAAGTCACACTATTGGTATTTCAGCCATGACAAGTATGTGGAACTTCACGGTTTGCGTAATCTTAGCGTTAGTGTCTTAGTGTTTTCTGAAGGATTAAGAGAAGTGTTTTCCAGAAATGACATAACAACGTCATAACTCTTGACCAATTAACGCTCTACCTTGTATTCATGTATCAATCACAACTCAAGCAAACCATGAGGTTGTAATTAAATATCATTTATTTATTTATTTTACTGTATCAGTTTTTACATTAGACTCTTGTCCTTGGGTGAGTTGTGTTTGCCGGTCTTTGTGTCTGGTTCTAGTGTGAAGATGGCGGGCGTCCCAGTGTGAGCCCCTCTCCTCCCCATCTAGCCCCAGCCCAAGGTCTGGAACAGATTACATCTGATATTAAACACATGGCAGCAGTTAGAAAGGAGAAAAGGCGAGAGGAGAAAAAAGTATTTTTTTTTAAAAAGAAAGAAAAGAAAAGAAAAACAGAGTGGATTTGTCAACGAGCTCCCTCCTACCTTCCCTCTCCCCGTCCTGAGCCCCTTTTCTCTCTTTGTGTCTGCCTCGCTTCAGTTTCTGGTCACTCCTAAGAGGACGGAGAAAATCACTGCTCATGTCAGTCTAGCCGTCAAAGGGACAGAGATGTAGCTGTTGATGCCCTTTTATCCAGCAGAAAAAGTGTCAGTGCCTTTAACAGGGCAAGAAATCAGAGAGGAGACCAATGGAGACAGAGATATAAAACATGTTCGTAACTTGAATTCAGATATAAGAGACATTTTAAAAGAAAAAGGGTCGCTCTCTGAAGCTATTGATGATGAAATGCCTCAGTGACACTCTTTTGATTCTTTCATGGAAAGACTTGAAGCTGTTTCCACTGCTCATGGCAGATGGTAATAGTCTTACACACATGCCTTGTCCTCAATCTCCCATTAGAGATGTGGATCAGTGTGTTTCATAACCTAGCGGATAATGAGACGAGGGACTGAGAGGGTATCTAGAGGAGTCTTGGTCTCCAGACTTGTTTTGCCAGTGATGTAAGGACAGCACTGATCAATCCAGAGGAATGTTGGAATACAGACATTTGAGGTGGATTGAGAACATTCCTGCTGTTCCCTTTGCTAATTTCAGCTTTTTCCTGTGAGGGGTCCCATAGGGGAGTCACCACTCCCAAACCAGCAGGCTCTCTATCACTGAGACGAGCACTCAATCACGTCCCTGTTGTGTTTATACAACACAAGTCCTCCATGCTCTGAACAAATGGCAGGAGCAGCAAAAGTTGCTCAGCTTGTTAGTTGTTAGCTAACGTTAGCTTGTTGTTAGTTAGTGCTGAAAATCACTTTACATCTTCTACTACAGTGTTTTTCCCCTCTTATGAATAAATTGCCTGTTTGATTGTTTTACCTACCAGGTCAACTGCAGCACAGTCACTATGGGAGGCCATGCTGACCAATAAACATAAAGAGGGGGTGATGGAGGTCCGTCGGCAACTAGTGGAAACAGCCAGCAAGGAGAAGCTGCCAATCAAGATGAGCATGGGTAAGAAACAGAATGTCACACATGGAACAAACTGCAATCTTGATTTCCCATTTAAAAAAAAAAGCACTAATTCACACCAAACACAGAAAATAAAAATGAATGAACATTAAGCATCATGGGTAAAAACAAAGATTCTTAGAGAGAAAAAGTGTGTGTGAACGCTATAGTGTTTTGGAGCAGAACCATAGCCCCTCCTACAGAGATCCAACTTCTCTGTGTTGCCGTGTATTTGCCCATGTGGCCACAGAGGAAATCTGAACCACATGTTGGCTCTATGACACACACTCACACAGACACACACGCGCACGCTGCTTTTGAAAACTTTTGTTGTTTGTTAATGAAGCAAAGGGGTATGAAGCGAGGGATAAAAATATGTGTAGGCACGCAAAAATAAAGTCACGTTCACCTTCATGCTACCCTCTGACTCACATAGGTCATTGTACTGTGCACACACATGCACACACACACACAGCTAATATGCATGTTAGCATCTGGCAGAAAAGGGTTGGGGTTAAAAGGGAGGGGCAGTGTGGTCCCTCAGCTCCTATAATCTGTGAGGTAAAGAAGGTCTTGTCTCTTAACAAGCAGGTTGTAATATGTTGGAGGTCACACACACACCCCACACACTCAAGCATCTGCATACACAGAGAGGTTTTTCTTTCACACATTTGTGCTAAACAGCAGACCTTCTAATTCTGGATGGCTGCTACACTTTAGATTCCTTTAGAAAAATGCACAACAACAGGAGTTCAAGCTGCAGGAATAGAAGGAATAAAAAGATGGAGAGTGACTGTAAAAGCAAGAAAGTATGAAGAAGGTGTAGCGTTAAAGTTGCTCCCGCCCGCTGACTGACAGTCTGTTGACTTAATGTCTTCCCTGAGAGAGAGAATGAGAGAAAGGTTAGGAGAGAAGCGGGCACAGCCAGACTCCTCACACACTGAACCCTTATACCCCACTGGCAGAGGACCAGATTCCACGAAGCCCCCTGAGCTCACCAGCGAACCCCCACACAGTTCCCATCCTGCCCACCAGCACCACCAGCAGCGTTCTCAATCCATCATGCTCTGCTCATATGAGACCAAGCTAAACCCGGTAACACAAAACGCTTAGCATTAATACCTATCTGCTGTCTCAGTGCCCGCTCACTCGCAGAATTTTCCACTCGCACCCCAACACACTCTCACTCTGGTAGGTTTATGCTGATCAGTGGAGGAAAATACTGTATCAGGATCCTCCGGGCCCTGCATTCTCACATACACACTAACCCAACTTGGCGTCTTTTCATCTCAACAGGATAAGATCATCCAGAGAGAGACAGAAAAAATAATCAATTTCTCAGAGCCTGAGTATGACCCATCAGGTTTCTCATAGCACAATGGGATGATGAAATTCCCTCGCTGTGTGTGTGTGTGTGGAGGGGGGGGGGAGATGTATGTGGTTGTGCAGAGTCCAGTGTTTATCTTGGGTGTTTTTGCTCTTAGCAGGGAATTAGTTAGACAGCTTTGGTTTCATCGTCCATAAACGTGTGTTTATCTGTTCATCTGCGTGTGTGTATGTATGTATATATGCATATGTCTGCGTCACATGGTTATACAGTTTGTGTATATATTATGTTCACTGATACTGCAGTGTAAATGAGATGTGTTGACGGGGCCTTTCTTCCTGTGGTGCAGTCCTTTTACAGCAGAGAGGAGTGAGACTCAAGCAGACAATTAATTGCATTCATCATTTCAGGCAGTGAGATTAGGGAATAAAGTGTAATATGACAATAGTTTTAAATAAGTATTCATATTTTTTTACTTAATTTAAATTTAAGTAAAAAAAATTTAAATGTCAGAATGTGTTGTATTAAATGGCAAAAGGGCTTTGCACACACTAATTGATTTATGGCTTTCTTTCCATTTTGTTATATATAATTCTGTAATTTATTACGACAAAGGGAACGCATATTATGGGGCCTTAAAAGGTTTTTTTCTCAACTTTGTACAAGCAGATTAAATGAAAATATTATCATAATGTCTGGCCATTTATTTCAGTGGAAAACCGCAATATCACCAACAATGACAACATAGATTAACAAATGTGTTTTAGTTGGATCATGTAAATCATGAAACAACTTAAAGGGTCTCTGTGACATTATGACACTTCCAGTTATTCCAAACCTCTCACACACATTCTCAAAGTTTTTGTTATTGTTTTGTAAGAACAGAAAACAAAACAACAATATGAATACAAGAACAGGTCCCTAATTAGATCAGATGTTATTTGTGATAATTAAAACTTGGTCTTTTGGATGTGCTATTGTGCTGTTTTGAAATGTGTCACAAAAACATGCTTTATACATTGAATGTAATGTGCAGCAATGTCAGTTTGTCACCCAGTTCCACAGGATGAATCACCCTTGGTGACCCTTCCTCTAGCTCCAACGTGAGATTCAAATGCGTGATTTTGAATGAAATGTCTCAACAACTATTGGATGGATTGCCATGAAATGTCGTACACATATTCATGTTCCCCTCAGACTGAATTGTGAAGACTTGGTGACCCTTTCATCTACCACTTTGGTTCTACTTTGGTTTAAGACGAAATTACGTAATAACATTCACATCAGCCTTTTGTTTAGTGTTAATGAGTAAATCTTAGCATGCTAACACACTAAAATAAAATGGTGAACATGGTAAACATTATACTTGCTTAGATTCTCAATGTGAGCATGTACCTGTGCCTGATGAGATCAGATTTTATATTTGATCAAAATGTTCTTCAGTGACTGGAGACAAAGTACTATGGTCACTACCACATGCCTTAAACAGTACATACTGTACAGATTATGTAGAGTTATAAACATATATGTTTAACTGAAGAGGAACCACAGATAAAAACTTTTCTACAACACAGACACTAAAGAAGGCCCGAGTAATGAGGCGGTAGAGCTGCCCTGTTGTAGCCTGTGCTCCTGTACAGTAGAGTCTTGAAAGAGGTCCTAACATGCATCCACAAATAAAAGACCCATCCAGGTCTTTCCTCCTCTTGGAGGGCATAAATAAAAATCTCTCAGCCTTCCTGTGTCCCCCATCCATGCAGAATTACTTATGAGACTGTCCAGCTGCTAAGGCTGGCCACCACTCAGCTTCACGTTGACATCACACACTTAGCCTCTGGGTAACCCTCTGCACCTAGAATACAAGTCATCTTCCAGTAACAGAACTAAATCATTCTTGGCCCCTGCCCTTTTTTGCATTATTCAGGACTTTGATCATGGCCGAGCTTCAATTGCCACTTCTGCACATCAGGCTAAAATGGGCAGCAGCTCAATTTGTTTATAGCATGGGACTGAAAATGTGATTTGTTTTATGGCTGGTCCTGCAATAAAAGCAATTAAAATGGCCCAAAGGTTCAAGTTTCTACTATCGTCTTAGGTGATATACAAATAGCGACAAGAACTGCAGTATTTTATATACCTGAAGACCTCTGGGCGTAGGGCACTAGTGAACAGAACTGATATGCTGATTGACTTGACTACAGTTTAAACTGTAATATGAAAACTGGCTGGTATTTTCAGACACCAGAAATTAATGGTGTATCTTTCAAGGCAGTGAAATGAAATGAAAAACACAATAGGCCTACAATGTATAATTAAAAACTATAAAGCTGGTAGGGAAAGGTCCATTAAAGGTAAGTACAGTGTACAGTCTTAAATTATTAGAGGCTGAAATCAAGAACCTTTCCAGCACTGCTGTTAATGTAGAAACACCGTAGTCTGAAACCATAGCTCAGCTGACAGATCATCTCCCTGAGATTCATTTTGCATCTGGCAACAAGATGCTTGAGGAATCGCAGAACTGTTTTGAGGGAAGTTTAGTGGCATAGATAAGAGCTGAGGCTCAGCCAGCACTGTTTGATTGTGTAATCGAGAACAGGCTTTTGTGTGGCTTTCTTGTCTTAAGTTCTTCTTTCTGTTTTTTTCCAATGTCTTACATTTTCTCACTCAGTCTCATATGATCTACCCAAGCTGTAAAGTCTGATTATATTTGGCCTACAGTGTGCCATTCTTTGGTTGCCTATTCACGGGTGAAATTATGCTTGGCACTTGCTTTGGACGTATTTCCTGGTTCTGTGCTGAATTATGGTTGGCACATCAAACTTAGCGAACCTTAGTTATACTGCCAGGATTTTATGGCTGGATATGTTCACAATAGAGCTTTTCAGGATTTTGACTATGTCTGGCTTATTCTTCAAAAATACTTTAATTTCAGCAAGAAACTTAATTCTCTCTTATAGACAATTGCTTCATAATACCCACAGAGTGAATGTCACACAGCACACTGACTCTTTCAGTTCAGCTTGGAAACTAGTTTCCCAATAGGCAGACAGGAATCTATTTTGTTGTCAGGTCTACTTATCAGCTTCCCAGAAAATGAGTTTTTTTGTTAGTAGCTTCCCTGGATGATTCTCTCCATTATTATTTCTGAAAATATTTCAATAAGAATTTTTGTTATCCAGTTTAACAAAGTAAAAAAAAAAAAATATTGTTTTTACATTTGTTAAGTGCCATGACTCCATATTGTATCTAGTATTCTGAAGCTTTCTGCTCAATTTTTGTGTCCTGCCTGTCTGTTTCTCTTCTAGTCATGTGTTTGGCCCCGCTAAAGAAAACATTGGCCATGTAGTCCAACAGGAAATACTCCCACATCTGGTGCTGGTTCAGAACATCAACATGAAGAAGTAGGCTTTATGGGGAGTTAATGTGTGCCCTCGCTCTATCCAAGCCCCTGACACAGCCCCTCGTACCTCCAGGCCACCCTGCACACCCCCCCTTCTAGCTCTTTACACCCTTTACGCTGCTCTTCCTGTGTCTCTGTGAATCTTCGCGGGAGGGGCGTAGGGGGAGGCAGAGGGTCCCAAACAGTGTGAGGAGTCTAGTCTCTCTCTGCTGCCTCTATAAATGTCTGATCTCACTCACACTTATTAGTCACTCACAAAACGGGCTCTCAGGAGCTCTTGTCAGTGTTGCTGACACATACAGTGATGTTTAGTCATATACTCTGACTCGAGTAATACATCACTTAAAACTCTGACAGTAACTCTCCACCTGAAGCTTGCGCATACAAAGAATATTGCTTCCTAACTGGCTCAGCCAAACACACATATACACTCTGCACAGCCCTATTGCTTTTTCTCCCAGCCTGTGGGGTTCTTGCTCATTAAGATAATATTACGGTCTGTTTTGGTATCAGTCATTCCCCTCTGCCCTAAGCTGAGTGTATGATAGTTATTAAAATGGCTGTTATGCTTGGAAAAAGGTTGTCTATTTATTCAGTTTCCACACTCCGCTCTTCCCATCAGGAGGAATAACTATGTGTGTGTCCCTTGCAGCTTTGTACATTTTTTTATTTATTTACCAGATGGCACACAAAAGAGCATTAGGCCAACAGTCAGAGTACATTCGTGGATTACACATACTGTATGATGTATTTTGACCAATATTAATTGATAAATTTGTGATGGCTCTAAATTTCTCCCCAGATAATAACAGCATCTTCTTCCCCCCTCTCAGGCCGTGTGACCCCCGAGCAGCTTTGCTCCTACGTGCAGCTGTTCCGGAGCAGTTGGGGGGCGCTAGAGAGTCACTGCGGGGTGCTCCAGCTGGGCCTGGCCACAGCCCAAACACTCCGCCACCCCAGCCTCCCCCGCTGGGATGCCTGTCTGGCGTTCGAGAGGCTGCTGCTGCAGGTCCGTACTCATCTTACACAAACCTATTATCCATATGTGTTACAGGCGATGAAAAGTGAAAAGCCTCCTCTCAGAATGGGATATTCTCCGCTTAAATAATGTGATACCAGCTGTGGCAGAAAGACTTTATTAACCGCAAAACAATATTTCAGATGCAATCAATTCTCTTTTTTGTAATATTAAGGAACATGGCTCAAATAACTTAAATGTCCAGTGTGTAACATTTAGGAGGATCTGTGGGCAGAAATAAAGTATAATATTCAGAGGTATGTTTTCATTAGTATAAAGTCACTTGGAAATAGGAATCATTGTGTTTTCATTACCTT